TTGTTAAAGAATGGCATTCTTATTTGATTTGTGTTAAAGTTTATATAATTTAGTATCCGGTTCTTTCAAAACAGGTGATGGCTTTTTCATAACCACGTTGTTTTAAAAGAGCTGAATTTTCAATTTATATAAAAATGGTGATTAAATCTCTGTTAATGATTAAATTATTTTTCTGTTAATGGATCTGTCTTATAGATAAATGTGTATTAGGATGGTCCATCTTTTTCGATTTTCAAATTTTTTCCGCGACACTCCTTAGAATGGTTCCAATCCATAAAAAAATAATTTCTGTCAAATAGCTTAATCGGACAACGGAAACCCGTGCCGATAGCTCATTGAATATTCCCTTATATTACACTATCAACACTGGTTTTTAAAGCATATTTCCTACAAAACTCAGCCTAGAGAATATTTTTCTTTTTTTTTATATATGTCTTGCTTTTCTGCATCGTTTGAGACCTTATACGGCTCATTTAAATAATTAAGTGAATTGTTAATGATTAAAAATAAAAATAAGTAGTTTCACTCTGATATATACGCTGCTGAGTGATCCTTCTTTTCTGTCATTTGATTTTTCTCTTTAAGGTACCATCTAAACTTGTTCCAATTAATACAATATAGATAAATATAGATAAAGATTTAGTAAATATTTTAATTATATTCAAATATTTGAGTCAGATATCTGATTACATAAAAATGACTACATAAAAATGACGCTACATGTCAGTATATGTAAATAAAAAGTTTTATGTAATTTTATTATATAATATTATATAACATTATATAATATAGGATACGATCAATTTTTCGTCATTATTGTCGCACGCAAATGAAATTCACAAATCCAATATATTTTTCCTCATATCCAAGATTGAATAGTGCTAAATTAAAAAGATAAAAGTTAAGTTAAAAAGTTAAAAAGTTAATTAATTTTAACTTAACTTAGTTACATTTTAGGCTCTTAACTTTTTAACTTAATTTAGTTACACTTTATCGATAACTATTAACTTTTAATTTGATTTTTTTTAAGTTAATCTTCAGACACAATGCGAGAG